CAAAAAAAAAAAAAAAAAAAAAAAAAAAATAGTCTCCTCGGAAGGCAGCATCTATCTCTCAGCACCCAGAGATTTGGAACTTTGCGAGCTGCTCTCTGGCTTCTAGCCCTCTGGGGCTCCCGGGTCTGGCCTCCGTATCTTAAAGGCCACCCACTATGGTGGGCCTGCCAGTGGGCTGGACCCACCCGTGGACTCTGCCCCCAGGCTCCTGCTGAAGTCTTCTTGTGGGTCCACCCTGTAGGAGACAGCTGGCTGTGCCTTGAGCTGAGTGAGGTCGGGTGGCCTGTGAGGCAGCGAAGGGCGTGCTCTTTGGAACAGGGCGAAGCCTGCCTGTGCCCCCACGGCAGGGCTGGGTTGGGAGGGCAGCCTCAGACGCCCAGCCCATGCGCGGCTGTCCTTTGCCCTGGCCCAGCGGGGCCCACCCTCCCTTGTGTCCTCAGCTGGCTGGCTGCAGTCTTGCCTCGGCAGGCAGGGGTGGGGGTGGAGGGAGCGGGGCTTCTCCAAAACTGGGCAGAGACACTGAGGACTTCACTGCCTGGGCTTTGGAGAGGAGGTGGGAGGCGGGTCCTGTGCCCAGCCTTGCCAGATGACTTGGGCCAGTTCTAGCTTCGCGCCTTCCCGGAGAGCTCCCTCCTGAGGGCTTTTGTTTAGGTCTGTTTTGTTTTTTGATGCTAAGAGTTCTTTTCCTCCCGAAGTGCATGGGGGGGTCCCCATGAAATGGGTGACTATGTTGCCATATGATCAACAGGCAGTGCAAAACGTGGGTGCTATTCTTGCTGGGAAATTCAGCGCAGAAAGGGGTTCTGTGTATTTTTATCACCACCCCACCGAGGAGTTGGCTCTGGGGAGATCTCTTTTCTGAGCCTGAGATGTCGGCAGGGGCAGAGACACGAAGGCCAGGCAGTCACTAGTGGGTTCTTGGTCAGAGTCCTCACACCCCGACGGTGCCCAGGCCTGCATGCTTCTCTCCCTTTGGTCCTTCATGCTTGTGGACCTCACACCCATATCCTGTCTGGGGCTCCATGTAGGAGGCAAAAAGAAAAGGGGAAAGAATTTTATCAGCTACTTTCCAGAGGGGAGGTGACTCCACCCTTGACTCCCTGCCACATGGCCACGGTGCTGAGGAGGAGCCGCCTTGGGGACCGCTGACTAATTCAGTGGTCCCCGGCACTGGCCCCTGGAAGACCAGCCCAGCCGCACAACTTTTACAGGCGTTCCTCTTGGCTCCCCTTATGCCTGTGGCTCCACCTCCTGGGCCTCCTCATTCACTTGTCCACCTCTCCTTCCTTTCCGAGTTTTTGTCTCCAAAAGCTGGGGTGAGAAGGGCCCACTGCAGCGCATAGATTCATGAGCTGAGCCACCCCTGTACAAACAAGTAGAGGGAGGAACAAGTCCACTTCCAGGGGTCTTGCTGTCTGGTTCTCTGCCAGCCCTGAGCTAGAGGGGCTGGACTCACATTTGAGGCTTGGTTCAGGGCTGGGTGTGCACTGGGACTCTGGGGTACCCGGGCTTCCACCTCTCACCGACTTCTGTTGCTCTGTCCATGTGCCCTGCAGTGTGGAGAACTAAAAATGGAAAGATATGGAAAAGAGACCAAAAACCCAACCTCTGGAACACATCCTCAGTCTTCAGGGCAGAATTTCCATATTTTGGGGGCTTTGAGTTCTCTAATGAGAACGCTTGCTTCCCTCCTTACCTAAGAAATGAAAATGCATTCTCTGCGATATTTAGTCTCCAGGACCCTGATTCTGTGCTCTAAAAACAAAGATGTGTCTTGGAAGAGTGCATAGGGGAAGAGGTGTCTTCCCCAGGCCTGCACACAGCCCCCCCACCCCGCAGGGAATGAATCACTTCCCTTCAGATGCAAAGGAAAGGACCTACTGGCTTAAGTGGGAAGTCTGCTCCTTCCTGATTTGGGAAAAAAATTTAAGAAAAAAACATATAGTTCTCAGGGGAGTGGCATCTCTGAGTAGCTTGCTCCATTGTTTAAGAAAATGTGTTAGTGGGTCTGTGGGTGAGAATCGGACAGACGAACCCTGATGTGCGAGGGCACGCAGGAAGTCAAGCTGCTCTGGACGATAAAGTGGGGCCTCTTGCTTGGGTGGGCCCAGGAGACAGGGCTGAGGCCCTCTGGAGCCCAGAGGGAGGTGGAGGAAGCAGGAGGAGGTGCCTGCCACAGTAAGGGAACAAAGGGGGCAGGGTGGGACAGACCTGGCTCAGATTCCTTAGGGCACAGCCTCCTTAGGGGGCAGTGTCTGACATTTCAAGGTTATGCTGCTGTCTCCTTGGCACTGCCCTGTAATCCTACTCCGTGCTCTCAAACCTGCTGTAAAAACTGGCTGCACACACTGGCCTGGCATGGCTGGGTGCTTGGTAGCTTGCAATACGGAAGTGTGACGGAGAGGCCTTGAGCCAGGACCCAGGGGTCAGAGGCACAGGAGCTCGAGGAAGAGACCAGTGGGAGAAAAGTAGGCAACCTGCGAATCCTCCGGACATTGGGTTCCCTGGGGTACAGAGTGGGGATGGGGTGGGACAGGCGATCTCAGCCCCCCTTCTAGTCCAAGGGCACTCAGACTCGTGGCAGACCTGGGATTGAAAGGCACAAGACCCCTTCTGGGGTGCTTGGGGATATGGGCAGGTCACCTAATCCCCCCAAGCAACTCATCCTTTTTGAAAAATAATATTTGTTTCCCTTGTATTGTAGGGGAATTAGCCTTACTGTAGTTTCTAATTGCTCTAATGCTACACTTTGGGTTGTGACAGTGTTAATCTGGCCCTTCGTGAAAATTCCTAAAGACCTTAGGGGCCCCACTGGGCTACAGACTCCTTTAGGGATTTATTTGAATTATAGCTACACTAACAGCCACTGGGGGAGGACTGGGGTCGGCTTCGATTTTGTGCTCTTAAGGGACTGAGCCATATCCTGGGTCCATCACTGGTGCCTATGGGGGCGAATACACATCCTGTTTAAGTGAGATGAGTCTTGAAGAAAGTAATTTATTCTCCCTCTCCAAGTTCTTCTTTTCCAGATCAAGGGTCAGCAGACTTTTCCTGGAAATGACCAGACAGTGAATGTTTTAGGTCTCGGGGTCGTGTGGGGTCTCTGAGGCTCTTTCTCCTTTGTCTTGTGACACTTCCCACAGGCCCTTCCAAAATCCCCTCTGTGCCAGATTTCTTCCTTCCATAAGCCGTGGTTTGCCTAGCGCCTGGCCTGATGAAACCACGCCAGGCCTTCCGTGGTGTCACTTTGTAGAACTCCTCTCATGCGGTGATCTCTCGTGGATGCCCCTAATGTAACAGAGTTCCTCCTGAGCTCAGGGTCACAGCGGGGCCAGCATCCCTAGGAACATGCCAGCGTGGTACTGTTCAGCCTGCTGCGTCTCCTGGCTCCCTAGCACTGTGCCAAGGGCCTCATGGAAAACGGGTAGAAGAGCAGTCCCGGCACGGAATGCACGTCCTGCCCAGGCCCGTTAGAGTTGTCCTGAGGAAACGGCATTGGCGTGCTGGTGCCAGATGAACGCTCTAGATAAGTCCGCACCTCTGCGGCAGGCAGAGGAAGGGGCCTGGCGTGAGGTTCTGAGCCGTTTCCGGCAGGCCCACTGTGCAATCTCCTTGGTTCCTTAGAACAGCTGAGAGCTGGACTCTGCTTTGATCCCACCTAGGGAGAGGTTTACAGAGATGAGGCACGACCATTGTCCAGGGCCACAACGGGAAGAGGAGCACTTGTTTGTTTGGGTTTTGGTTTAGTTTTTTGAGGCAGGGTCTCGCTGTGTAATTGGAGTTGGCCTGAGCACTGTGTAGCCCAGGCTGGCCTCCAGCTTGTGGAGATTCTGCTGCCTCAGCCTCCCGAGTGCTGAGATCCCAGGTGTGTGCCAGGTGTGGGGGTGCACACCAGTCACAACTTCTCAGGAGGCTGAGGCTGGAAGGTCTTGAGTTCCAGACCAACAGGGGCAACTGAGTGACTTAGTGAGGCCCTGTCCTAAAATAAAAAAAGGATGGGGGGTTGGCTAAGTGTGAAGGCCCTATTACAAAGCACACGAAACAACTGGCAGTGCAACGCAGTGCCAGAGTGCCCCTGCGCTGGTTCAGTCTCCCTGCTCAAACAACAGCAAATATCAACAACAGCATTCTCTGGCCGGCTGCCAGCGTTGGGATGGGTGGGCAGCGGGCCCCTGGCTGGCCGAGAGCAGGAAACAGCAGCAGTATAGATGAGAACTAGGCATCTGCCAAGAGTAAGACGAAGTGCACAGGAACTCAGGCTTTTAAGTCCTGGAATTAGCTATTTAGGACACAGAGCTTGCAGGGTCTGAGGATTTCAGACCTTCTTTGACCTACAAGGTGTAGGTAGAAGTCGTCTCCGAACGCACTGCCTGACACTCAGGTAGCATGAAGAGTGTGTACTTCCTTAGTGCTTTGTAGGGAGAGGACATCCATCCACTCCGGTGAGGACCCAGGCCAGCGTGGATGTGGTACTTACGTCTGCCTGTTTTTCATTTATTTCCATTTCTTCATTTCCTGCCGTTGCTTCTCATTGTTGGTTCTGATCATCTGTCTCTTCCTAAGTCTCAGCCTTAGCTAGGATATCAGATCCGGAGCCTCTCAGAACTGTGTGCCTCTGAAAGGCACCTGCAGCGGTCGGTGTGCAAATTTTACTGCAGGCGTCGGCCGACGTCCTGCTATCTTGGCCTCCTCCCTTGCTTCAAGTTTAAGGGCTGAGATTGTGCGGGGACAGTTGAGGTCTGGTCCACGGGGTCTCGGTGTCACAGCCGAGGATGGACTGTGCGGCCTTCCCTTCAGCCTCTGTCACCCTGGTTCCTTGCGGGGCTGGGTGGACCCGCTGCTGTCGAGAGGGTGGCGTGGAGGTTCCCTCCTGCGCTTTCAGCGTGCATGGTTCTCCCTGACCGCCTCAGAGTTGGGGGTCAGAGCTCAGAGATGGGGAGCCTGGTGTTGATGGCTCAGGCCCTGCATGTGCAGGAAGAGGTGAGCAGTCCTGCCTGGCAGGATGCTGTTCCTCCCACAGCTTCGCGTTCACCTGAGCCCCGTGGAAGGCGCCTGCAGACTGGAGCCTTGGCCTGGTGGCCCTCGCCCTGTGCCAGTCCTCTCCGCCGTCCCTCCGCCTGGCCTTTCCGCCCGTCCTCTTTGTCCCATTCCTCCCCTGCCTCTGAAGCCCCTCTGCTCACCCTTGGCTCCGAACGGTGAGTCTGAGGATGGAGTCTCCTTTTCCCCTGCCCACAAAACCTGGTTCCCTGTCCTCTGCCTGGCCTGTGGGAGGGAGGAGGCCACTGCAGCAGGGAGCCCGTCCCCAGCAGGTCGGCAGCTGGCCGGGGCCCACAGTTGCTTCATTCTTCTGGCACGGGCACTGCGTCCTCAGCACTAGCAGCAGGTCTTTCTTCACATCTGGAAGAGTTCAGAAGTGTTTGTCTGGGTGAAGGAGGCCCTTGGGGGAGGGGTTCAGAGCATGACATCATCTCAGCAGCCCCTTCCTTTGGAGGCGAGGAGGGCAGGGCCTGACCTCCAGATGGGATTCCTGGGGATTGATGTCTCTGAGGAGAGGACGGAGGGTGTAGGCAGAGGGGGATCCTGGGGTGTCAGGAGCGGTGCGTGACAGCGGGACCCTCAGTCCAGGGTACTAAGGTCACCTCGCCTGCCTAGTAATGAATTGGCACCTTAGAGTCAGCCTGGGAGGTGGGTCTCTAAAGAAAGCAGGGGCCTGAGTGATCCCCACCCCCGTCCAGGGAGTGCTCCCCCTCTTGTCCTCCTCAGTGGTTGGCAGGCACCAGGTCCCCAGCAGCCCTGACCCAGCCCGGCTGCTTTGCAGTATCCACTCGAGATTAAGGTGAACGTCAGCGCCCACTGCCTCTTGCCCGGTAGGATTGCTGCCCCTCCTTTGTGCCCGGCAGCCTGGTGACTTTGGTTCTTCATCTCTGACATTCTAGGAATTCGGCTTCGTCGTCCTCCTCCTCACCTGACGTGTGTTGTGATGTGGGCATTGCTCCGATCGGTGCCCGTCTCCTGGCAGCAGGCGGGTGGGAGCGTGATGCCCCATCATTACCTTTAGGGGAATCCTTCTTGGTCTCAGATGCTGAGGGAAACCAGGTTTCATTCTACATTGCTGTTTACCTGGAAAACTGGACAAAATTCGGACCTTGATGTCAGTGGAGAGAATTAGGAGGCGAGCTTTAGGGTGTCCTGGGGCCTTTCCGTGCAGATGGTCCTACAGCTGTCGGCTCTGAGCGACAGGTCTACTCACAGGCCAGAGCGCACAGGCGGATTCCGTACATCCACATACTCAGTTGCGGGTCCAGACAACTCACCGTAAATGAAGCTGTCTTCTACCTTCGTGCCACTTGTGAGGCCAGGTTTGAGTTTGGGCCTCTGACCCTCTTAGAACCTGGGCTCCGTGTGGCTGATCTGAACACCTGAGTCCTGGGCCCACCATCTGCCCTTCTGTCATTCCTGCCTCTGCTGTGTCTCACACTTCGAGGTCCCTTGCACACGTGCACGGGACATTCCAGCTGCACAATAAGTGCTAACCCTGCTTCCTGCTAGCAGCTGTCCCCTGGCCACCAATGAGCCTGGGGAACACAGACCTCAATGCCCCGGTTCACTCCTGAGGGAGCTTTGGGAGGATGGGCTGGAGAAAAAGTCCACACAGGTCTTGATATGAGAACCGAGCCTTTGAGCAAAAAGTGCCAGGGCTCCTGGTCCCCACGGTGAGATCTAGAGGACAAGGCAGGTCCCATTTGGTCACCACAGGAGGCGGACAGGATCCGGGCCCCCTGAGGTGCATGGTGGAGGCGGAAGTGTTCCTTCTGACCCTAAAGATGGTGTATGCAAGAGAGGGGCCGGGGCATATGAAGCTCTGAGACCAACTAACCCGGGAACATTCGGCCTTAGTAATTTAGCCTTTGTTACCTCATTGATTTCACAACAATCTGTGTAAGGGAGACAAAAGGCCCTTACTTAAGAGATGAGTGAACTGAGGCACACAGATAGATGTCAAATCACATAATTGGCTACTGGCAGAGCTGAAACAGTGCCATCTTCCCTCCATGAATGATGAGAAACCGGGCCTTACTCTACTCCCTCAGCAGGATTCCTAGGTCAAAGCTTCCTAAAAGGAATCTCAGAAGTTGGTTGTGGTGGCGCACACTTGTAATCCTAGCACTCAGGAGGCTGAGGCAGGAGGATGGCCATGAGTCTGAGGCTGGCCTGGACTACATAGGGAGTTCAAGCCCAGCCTGAACTGTGTAGCAAGGCCTTGTCTAAAGACAAACAAAAACAACTCGGTTTGCTTGCTACAGCGGAGTGTACTCCAGAAAAAGGAAGCAGCGTGTGCTAGAGGGTCATGAGTGAAAGGATGGGGGCAGTTTGGGAAGGAAAAGACTGGGGAAGAGAGATGTTTTTAAGGAGATTAAAGATGCAGTGAGTGTGGTCATTCCTAAGGGTTAACATACTGGGCAGAAAGTGACCAAAAAAAGAGAGGCATCAAAAGGGGAAGAGAAACATGTCCTTCCTTACAGTTTCAATCTTTGCGAATTTGTGAAAATGTAAGCTTATACTTTTGGTATTTTGCTGAGCACATTATGAACATTGCCTCATATTTGCATGTTGCTACAGTTTCCATAAATTTTTTTCTGATGATTGTGTATATGATTATTGTAATGATTATGGTATATTAAGTGCATGTATCATTATCCTGTTATATTTCTCTTTATTGCTTCTAACTTTTCCCCATTAAAAAAAACAAACTGTACCAGGCACTCGTGTGCCTGTAATTTTTGGCTTTTTTACTTGCTTAGGAAGAACCTAGCAGTAGAAAATGAGTGCGCCATCCGGGAGGATGTTGGTACAGTGCTCTGTAGCCTGGGGCCCAGGGAACGTTAAGGTTTGCATTCTGAGTTTTCCTCTGTTTTCCTGCAGCCTCTGGCTTCACAGATGTCAGCCCAGCCACTGATACCGCAGAGGCACCCAACTTGCTCGTGTCCTCACCTGCGCCTACCAATGGTTCACACCAGGAGACCTTGGCACCAGTGGTCCCCGGAAGCACCAGCCCCTACCCTGTCTCTGGGGACAGCACGGGGGCGACAACAGCCGTCTCAGGTACAGGGACTTTGTGCCTCTGGTCCTGAAGTGGGGGTAAAGCCTTTGGGGTGTTTGCAGGCTGATCCCCTCCACAGCGGGAGCCATTCTAGTCCTGCTTAGGAGTGGGGCATCGTGCTCTGGGCACCCCAAGGTCTTCTGTGGTGACAGCTCCCTCAGGCAGTGCCTGGACAGCTGACCCTGGGCAGCACGCTCTTCCTGTACCTCTCCTCTCACACCAAGCTCAGTGGTAATAAAACAAAGATCTGCAGAGGGGATTCTGGTCTCTTCTAGTCAGAAGGAAGGTGGCCTGTCTTTGGCTTCTCCAGGGTAAAGCAGCAGCTGGCTCACCTCAGCGTCTGGAGTGAATTCTAAATTGTAGCTGTGAGTCTAACAGCTGGCTTGAAAGGAGCTCTGTCTGGGTTAGGACAGGAAGTAACTTCCGCTCCCAGGTCAGATGTCCACACACTGTGACCTGAGGTGGTCTGTTCACGCGTGTGTTTGTATGTCTGTGTGCGTGTGTTTCAGAGACTACGGTCAACTTCACATCTACCTCTGGAACCACGCTGGTCCCTGAATCTGCAAACTCTTCCGTCCAGTCGCAGACCTCTCCGGACACCTGGGCGTCGTCCACTACCACAGTACTGGCCACCACAGGAAACACTTGGACTTCCAGTGTGACCTCAGGGCCCAGCAGTGCAGCCCCTGGCATCGTCTCGGGTTACTCGCCCACCAGCACCAGCCCTGAGGTGACCTGGCCCACCGGACTCTCCACGTCCTCGTCTCCTCCTGCCCCGGGCACCATCCAGGTGGGCGCCCTTGCTGCTTCCGTGTGCAGCCAGGCTCTCTCCCCTCCTTCCTCCAGCCAGGGAGATTGGGGTCAGTGGGGATCAGCATGGAAACGTGAGCTTTCCGCACGTCTGGGAAGTGCCGAAAGCCAGGGAAAGGGCCGGGTCTAGTGGCCACTGGTGAGTCTGGGGAACACAGACCTCAGTGCCCCAGTTCGCTCTTGGGGGAGCTTTGGGAGGATGGGCTGGAGAAAAGGCCCACACAGGTCCTGGGTATGAGAACCGAGCCTTTGAGCAAGAAGTTCCAGGGGTCCTGGTCCCCACGGTGAGATCTAGAGGACAAGGCAGGTCCCAGTTGGTCACCACAGGTGCCTTGGGTGTTGCAGTTCTGGGAAACAAAGTAAGAGAGTCTCGGAGGTCATCCAGCCTTCCAGATCCTCTGTACCTGTGGGTGTGGCTCTGATCCCACATCGTTTTCCTTTGGGAATTTGGAATCCATCCGTTTAATGGGGCGTTTAGGACACAGCGTGTTTCCTCCGAGTGAGGAGTCTGGTGGCTGTGCCAGGCATGAGGGGCAGGAGAACGTCATTGGCAGTGGTGAGAACTGGACGCCAGAGGTGGTGAGCTCAACCTGCCCTGCCCTTCTTGGCCTTGAGGTTGTGGCTGTCAGCAGCTTGAGGGTGTGGAGCTTAAGGACCTTCACGAGGGGCTGTCTGGTTTCTGTTTTTAAAGAGCCGGCATAGGAATCTAGAGTCTGTCTGGGCACTGCGTTATCTGCCTACTTGGCCTTCCTGAGAGCGTGTAATTGAGTTGAGGGAAAGCAGCTCAAATAGGAAGACCCTCCTCATCCCACATCTGCGTCATCCAAGCCGATGTTTACCGAGATTGCGAATAGTCACTCCTGCGAGCCCAGGCTGGTAACCAAAGGCTTGATTATGGGTGAGGGCAGTGCCCGGCAGAAGAAGGACAGGCTGATACCCCGGATCCCAAATTCCAGAACCAGAAATGAGTTGGGGAGTCTTAAAAATGTGAACTATTTGCAGATGCATAATGATCTATCTTGGGGATGGGACTTGAGTCAAAACATGAAATTTATCTGTTGTTTTATTGTTCACCTTAACGTACTCAGCCTGGAGGTAACTTTGTACGGTACTTTGCAGTAGTTTTGTACACAAATAAGGTTTCATGGTGTGGAATTTCCCTACTCATGGCATTGTGTTGACACTCAAAAAGTTTTGGCTTTTGGAGCATTTCAGATTTTGGATTTGGGAATTATACATGCTCAATTTGTATGAAAGACCTCTAGTCCCCTAACCCTTTTTTCTCCTGGTACTGGTGATTGAACTTGGGAACTTGTGTGTGCAAGGCAGGCAGCGGAACCACTGATTTATCCCCCGCCCCCCCAACACTTTTTAAATGCCCCTTTACCTAAAACTTTTAAAGAGAGTACCTTGCAGAAATCAAGCTGGAAAGGATGTGGGGGGAAATGAAGAACAAAGGTGGTCATGTATTTATTTGCTTTGTTTTTGTTTTAATACAGGGAGAAATCAAATGTGCAGGAATTAAAGAAGTGAAATTGACTCACAGCATCTGCCTGGAGCTCAACAAGACGGCCAGCTGTGTGAGTGACCCTGTCCCCTCCCTCACCCTCCACCTTCCCACCTGACTGAGGCTGTGATTCAACGGAGCCTGGGGGTCAGGCAGGATCTGGCTGATTCTCATACTCGGCTCTGGAGATCGTGGCCCCATCTGGTGGGCCGAGAGACAAATGCAGTTTTAATTGTCTGGTTCTTGATGTTGACACATTTACATTTGCTTTGGTGTTAGGCGTGTCCATGCCGGCTGGATGTAGACCAGTCTGCTGCAGTGTCAGTTCCTGTGTTACAGAGAATTATTTTGTTGTAATGCCAGGGTGATTTACAGTTTTACAGTTTAGTTTGTATATGTTCTGGACATGTTCTTCAGAGACTTGTCCCTACTTTTGTCTGTTTTACATTCTTTTTTAAAAAAAACTTTTACGTGACAGTACTTTTTAAATTTCCAGTCAGAAAGATCTTTCCTCATTATACTGTAAAAGGAGCAAACTATCTCTCAGCTCTTCTTTTAGAAAATCTTTGTAGATATATCTGTCAAGATCACCACCACTATTCCCTACCCCCCCAAAAGCCACTGAAATTTTTAAATGGAATTGCTCTCAGACCCTTCAGGATTTTTCCTAGTGTTCTTTTGTATCTCTTGACATTTTGTAGCTCTCTTCTTTTGTGTGTGGGTGTGGTACATGCCTATAATCCTAGCATTCTAGGAGGCTGAGTCAGGAGGATTGCTTTGAATTGGAGGCCAGCCTGAGCTATGTAATGAGTTCAAGGCCAGCTGGAGTATATAGTGAGACACTGTCTAAAAAAAAAAGAGAGAGAGAGAGAGAAAGAAGGAAAGAAAGAAAGAAAGAGAAGAAAAGAAAAGAAAAGAAAAGAAAGTGGGGCTGGGGATTTTTTAGCTCAGCGGCACAGTGTCTGCCTTGCAAGTGTGCAAGGTCCTGAGTTTGATCCCTGGTGCTAAAAAAACAAGAAGAGAAAACATTGTCTCAGGTTGGTTTGTTTCTTCTTTTTGGAATACTGGAGATGGAGCCCAGAGCCTCCTATATGCTGGGTGAGTGCTGTACCACTGAGTTACATCCCCAGATCCTTTTCCTCTAAGTTGGATGGAATTTTTTTTTTTTTTTTTGTACTGGAAATTGAACCCAGGGCCTTTTCACTGAGTTATATCTCCAGGCTTCACCCCTCCCCTTTTTTTGCAACAGGCCCTTGCCAATAAATTTTTGACTCCCCTGTCTCAGCCTCCCAGAGTGCTGGGATTACAGGCATGTATCACCACACCTGGCTCAAGTTTGAAGGACTTACAAAGGTTATTTATAGCACAGATATCCTACTGTATACTCTAATTTATTGTTGCCGGGATGTTAGAAAGTTAGGGAGTTTTGAATAATTATCTAGGATTTGTCCATTTTCTTAAACTTGCTTATCAATCCTGGGAGCTCTTAGTTGGCTGTCTTCAGTGTTTGAGGTAAACTCCCACAGTGGGTATCTCCCACCACAGTGCTTTGTTTTTCTCCTCCCAGTGCTACTGCCTCACATTTCAGTTTCATGTCTTATTGCATTGGTGACCCTGAGGATGGGGTGTTACTCTGATGGAGAAAGCAGGCCTCCCTGCTCTGCCTCCATTCCAAGTTCCTGAAGTAACAAGGCTCTAGAGGAGAATAGGGTACAGAGAAGAGTGCTACTTATAGAAAAGAACACTTGCTTACAAACCACTCAAGGAAAGCATGTGGACATGCATAATTGGAAAGGCTGTAGTCTGGAGAGGGCTTAAGTCACTTATCTGGGCCATTTTGACTACTGCTGTCTCACCTGTGACTATTAATTGGATCTCTCTGACTGTTGAATCTTGTAAAATTATACCTAAAGGAAGGATTTGCTTAGAGGCATTTAAAAACAACAAAATCGTTCAACAGACAAAGTTGCTGAACAACAAAACAGTCATTCAAAAACAACAATAAAGGTTTGCAGAATAGAATAACTCAAAACAGTGAAATACAGTGAATATACAATGTAGAAACAACAACCTGTGTCTTTCTGATGCTGAGTTTTGGACCCTACTCATTAGGAAAGATTTCCAAATCTGTGTTTATTTTAACTAAGGAATAAGACATCTCCCCCACTATCACCTGGAACATTTACCTTCCTGAGTGTTGCACAATCTGTCGGTGCTGGACTGCCAGTTCTTGGTGAAGTGTGCTGCACTCCAGGTGTCTGTTACTGTTCCAAGTTCGCCTTTACCTGGGTCATTGTGCAAGACAAGTGCTTCTGCTCCAGTCAGCTCCTCTTTCTCTCTTCTAATCTTCCTCCCTGGTTTTTGCTGTCCAGTTTACTGTGTACCGCAGCTGGGAAGGTCTCTGCAGGTTTTCTGAGATTTGGGAAGTGGGGTTTAGAAAGAGAAGGGCTCTTCCATTGTCCAGTGCTATTGCACAGCACCTGGGTAGCTGATGTCCCCTGGTGTTTCTGCCCCATCCCTTCCCTTTCTTCCTGTGGCTTCCTTCTCCCAAACCAAAGTGCCTCCTAACACCTCCCAGGTTAAGTTTTCCTCAGCCAGAAGTTCTGGGTCCAGAATTTTTAGCCCTAGCTCCTACTTGTATCCCAGATTTCTGTCTGTGGGTCCTACTACTCTCTGCTGGTGTGATAATCTGTCTTTTAGTGATAATATGACTGTCCCAAAGGCTGTGAGGAAAACTGTGCCTCTTGATTTTTCCATACATTTGTACTTCTGGTGTCAGAGGGTCTTGAGGTGCTGGTTCTACCCGAGGGGTACCTGGGCCCTACCCACAGCTTGATGAGGAACCTGAAAGATTATGAAAGTAATTTTGGTGCCCACCAGCATGTAGTCCAGCCTGGTGCTCTACATAGCTGGTTCTCAGCTGTCCAAAACCTCATTTTGCACCAGTGTATTCTAAGAACTGCTATTTTCACTCTTCCTATGCTGGTTGCTATCTTAGTTACATTTTTCATTCCTGAGACATTATCTGACACCCAAGGTTAAAGAAGGAAAGGTTTATTTTGTCTCATGATTTATAGAGGTTTCAGTTCATAGTTGGATGGCTCCCAGGCAGGGTGGCACAGCTGAGAGGTATTGAAGAGGAGAAATAGTTAATGGTGGGTAGAAGGTATGAGGCAGCAAGCAGCTGTATCAGGAAGCAAGCATCAGTCCCACATTCAAGGACAGTAGCAGCCCTCTTTTTGTCTCTTATATTTATCTAGGCTAACTGCCTTTTAGCACTCAAATACTTAATCCTAGCATTGCACCACGAATCAACCCCAGTATCACATCCTTAATCCCAGCATCACACGTTCTATATCGTGCTACCTCTGAAAAGCCTCACCTATGACTGTGTGAGGCTTTGGGGCCATCTGGACAGAGCTGTCACAGTTTCTCGGGCCTGTCTTCTGTACATGTAGGTTGCAGACACCAACATCCCAATATGTCTCCCTTTGCTCCCCACCCTTCACCTGTTGTCAGCTAAGGAAGGGAAGGCCATGTTGCCTCTCCTAGAGCATCCTTTGCCCTGCTCAGAACCCTCATTAGCAGTGTCTCCCCAAGTCTGATTTTAGTCCTCTCTACTCTAGTGTCTGCATAATTTAGTTTTTGTGGTTGTGGTCCCCCACATAGTTTCTAAACTGTAAGATGACTTTATTCTTATGCTATCTCCAGGGGAATTCACCGAAATATTTCTTAACTGTGGTAAAATACACATCACAAGAGATACACCCCCTTAACTATTTTAAAGTGTTCAGTTTGTAGCATTAAGCACATTTTCATATTGTCATGCATCCAATCTCCAGAGGTCTGCATCTTCCAAAACTGAAAGTCTCTACCCATGAAAACCTTCCCACCCCTTCGGGCCCTGACAACCACTGTTCTCCTTTCTACCTCTGTGAACTTGGTTCCTCTAAGTCCCTCATGTGAGTAATCTCACCTGGTGTTGGTCTTTTTACAGAGGGTTTATTCCACCTGGTGTAATTTTCTCAAGACATGGGCCAGGGATTTGGCTCAGTGGATCCACCACCTGCCTTGAAAGCGCAAGGTCCCAAGTTCAATCCTACATACCAAAAAAAAAAAAGCACTGTATGTATGTCATTTACAGCATAGGAAATAATTTGTTCTGTGTATGGTTATTGTGCCTATATCTTATTTATCCTTTCATGCATTGTTAGACACTTTTTTTCCTACTTTTTGGCCACTTTGCAAAGTATAGTACAGCTATGACAGAGAGTGTGCAAACATCTTTTCAACACCCTGACTTCAGTTGTTTTGGGTGTGTGTCCTGAGGAGCACTGCTGGTCTCTCTGTGACCACTCTGTGTTTGAATTTTTGAGGAGCTATCAAACTGTTTTTCCAAGTAGCTATACCAAAGGGCTCCACTCTCTTCAAATCCTCCTCAACAATTTTATATTCTGGTTTTTGTTTTGGTTTGGGAGTAGCCATTCTGTGGATGTGAAGTGATATCTGAGTGAGGTTTCCGTTTATATTTTCCTGAAGTTTAGTGACATTGAGAATCTTTTTCTTTTTTCATGGGCCTGTTGGTCATTTGGATCCTTTTGGGGAAATGTCAATTCAAATGCTCTACCCACAAAATTTGTTTTTAACTCCCTTTATTTCCACATCTGGGTGCATGCAGTTTCCGTCTATCCAACTAGCTCTCATTCCTGTTCTGTCACGATGACTCCATCGGAGCCCCGACTGGACACTAAAGGTCAGCTCTAGAGTAGAAAGCACAGCCACAGATGAAGATGTGATGACAGTGCCTGGCGGAAGAGCCGGGGAGTGGGGACTCCGGGACTCCAGGACTCCGGGACTCCATGCCCTTGGTCAGCAGCTCTCGTGCTGTGTGGCTTGTAGCGGGTCCCTCACTTAATCCAGTCCCAATGTAAAACTGTGGTTTTAACACACATTCTCAGGCTCACATGGCAAGGTAGACAAAACTTGGGAAGGGGTGGCTAATAGAGGTTTGGTCCTAGAAGCCCAGCACCAAGAAATTAAAGGTCATTAAGAAAAATGCCCCCTTGCCCCCCGCCCAGTGCCTGGTGTGCATCTTCAACCCCTCAGGAGCCTGTAAAGTTGGAGGATGCTGTTCTAGAAAGCTTGGCTGGTTCCCTTGTTTTTGCAGAGCCGCATGTGTGAGTTGATGTAGTTAGGGGCTTGTAAATCTGATTCTCATCAAGAACTCTGGGCAGCTGTGGCTTCCTCCTGCCCACTCCCCATGATGTTTGCCCACAGCATCCCAGGAGGGAGGATGTTGATTCCCAGCATCCGGAGAAGCACTGTGCTTTGTTCAGGATCCACCTGCTCCTCTCTGGCCCCAACACAATTCACTGAGGCCGTCGGATTGCAGAGTGGGAGGCTGGCCGCAGTCACTCCCTTGAGTTTAGTCCAAGGAGACAGACAAGGGACAGGGACCCTGTGTGGAAGCAGCCAGCCCAGGCGTTGGGCTGGACAACAGTTCCCTGAGTGCTTTTGTTTGTCAGTGCCATGATGAGGGCACTTTGGGTCCAAGGTTATGTGATGCACACCCTTCCTCCCAGCACACTTTTCAGCCATGTCTGAGAGAAATAATCCCAGAGCTGCAGAATATGACCAGAATACCAATTCTAAAGAGCATGCATGGTGGCACACACCTGTAATTCTAGCGCTCTAGGAGGCGGAGGCAGGAGGATCACAAGTTTGGGCCTAGCCTGGGCAATGTAGGGTCTTGGCTTTTGTAAAATAAAGCATGAAAAAGGGCTGAGGTTGTAGCTCAGTTTGAAGGTCTCGGGTTCAATCCCCAGTATTTAAAAAAAGAAATTCTAGATGATATAGTCTAACCGGGAAAGTATTGCTGTTATTAATAATAGTAATAGCTGTCCAGGTTCTAAACACAGCGGACGCTGTCTTTTCATGCAGTTTCTCTGTAGTCACCACAACCCACTGAGCCAGGGGAGCAGCCAGATCTCAGGCCCACTGCAGGACTTGCAGAGATTCAGGTAGATGGCAGAGCAAGGAAGGGCTGGTGCACAGTTTGCCAAAGACAGGGCTGGCCCCAGAGGAGGTGGCTTTGTGCTGGTCAGTGGCGGAGAGGGGACAGCAGGGAGAAGGCACACATCTTCTGCCTGCTGCAAGTCACACCCTGCTGCGGGGCTTGGACCCTGCAGTCGCCTCTACTCCTCCAGCCCTGCTCTGCTAACTCCACACCAGACCTGTCCTCAGCCTCCGTGTGTCCAGAGCACTTTGGTGTTGTCCCTTTCTTGTGACCTGGACATGTAAAAATAGTGTCCTGATACTTTTTTGTCTCTGCCTGAAAAATAAAGAGGAAAAATAACACCCATCTCAGAGTCCGGGGAGGCCAAGGAGGCAGGGTCTGAAAAGCACTTCGGGCAGTGCCTCAGACTTCATAAGCCACACTTACTTTTATTTTACTTATTTTTGTTATTGTTACTTTTGAGGCGGGGGGTGGGGTGTGTGTGTGTGTGTGTGTGTGTGTGTGTGTGTGTGTGTGTGTGTGTGGTTGAACTCACAGCGATCCTTCAGCCCCAGCCTCCTGAGCGCTGGGATTACAGGCGTGCGCCACCACATCCAGCTACAGCATTTATTTTTAACTGCCATGCACAGGAAGTGAGGGATTTGATGGTGTGGAAATCTTCTCACGCCCATCCCTGCCCCTGCACATGCATGTGCACACACATGTTTTCACACGGTGTCGCGGGTTCAGGGCATGAGCAATGTCAGAGCAGCTGACCCTGTCGAGCGAGGCACAGCTTAGCTTCTCAGGCCGGACAGGCGGCACGGGTGCCCTTGTGCTGGCCAGTTTGGATCTGTTAGGGGCCTGGCCTCTCCAGGAACAGATCCCGTGAAGCCCAGAGCTGCTGCCCTCCGAGGCCTGGTGGTGGGAGGGTGTCTGGCTTAGGCAGCTGGTGCGGGGCTGCCCGGGAGCGGCCTGGGGAGGGCTCCACACCAGGACAGGACTTGCCCTGGCTAAGAGGCAGCGCAGGCACCTCAGCTTCATCTCCCCCGCCCACCGGCCTGGCTTCGAGACTGTGAGGCCTCACAGACCCTGCCTCTGACTGGATCCTCCAGCTGTGCTCTTCCCACCTTGTCCCAGCCAGTTATTTTCCCTCAGACCTTGGTGGGGCCCTGGGCCCATCTTGGCCCTGCCCTGCCCAGGAGCAAAGGAACCTGGGTTTTCCTGCCTAGGGCGGGTGCAGGAGTAGGAAAACACCCAGGCTCCAGTCCAACTGGAGGCCCAGTCACACTCCGGGAGGTTGTCAGAGCCCTCAGGCATTTCCTCCTCTGTCCCCTGCTCTCAGCCTGGGGAGGGCCCCCCTGTGGAGAGGCTGGGGGAGAAGGTGGGTAGGGAGCAGGGACTGAAGGGCCCAGCTGGGCCTCTTGGCCAGCCTCCCCCTGCAGCCCTGTGGAGTGCATGGTGCCTGCGCTGGCCTCCTTGGCTCTTCTGCCAGCACCGGAAGCTGTTAAAACCTTGGAACTAAAGATTTCGTTGCTGTTGCCTTATCGATTTTTTTCTGCTGTTGGCAGTTTCTTTTAAGTTCAGTTTGCAGAACACATCGGTGCCTGGGCACTGCTCAAGTCAGAGGATGTAGCCGGGTGTGTAGGGTTCACACACCTGCACCACCCAGTGGGAAGATCGCAATTTCAAGCCCAGCTCGGAAAACAGCCACTGCCTCAAAATAAAAATGAACAGGAGATTTAGCTTAGTGGAAAGGTGCTGGGTTCAGTTTCTACTACTGAAAAAAGAAGGAAAAAAGACTAAAAAGATTGTTTCCTAAATTTGTTCTTTGACGTCTTCAGCACCAATAGGTACATGTTTTTATCACTGGGAAATTAAAATAAAAAATTTTTTATTGTATTTTTCACATGTACAGTTGGTAGTATTTTTTTCCTCCATTAGAATTTTAGAAAAGGGCCTCTTTTCTATGGAGGGGATAATAATGAGATTTTAGTGAAAAGTATCTGAGAGTCCATATGGTAATTCTGTCCCCCGCACTCCATTTTTCTCTCTTCCCAGGAGGACTTTAAGAAAGACAGAGGCGAGGACCTGGTCCAAATGCTGTGTGGGGAGGAGGCTGGTACCCAGGCTGGGGCTGGTGCATGCTCCTTGCTCCTAGCCCAGTCTGAGGTGAAGCCACAGTGTCTGCTGCTGGTCTTGGCCAACAGCACAGGTACAGGCACACCTGTGTGGGGCCCTGGGGAATGATAGGACTGTGAGCAGAAGGGGCTGGGGTGAGAAGTCCCCGGAGGAGGCCCCACATCTCAGTTCCAGAGGGCACCGAGGGAAGGGTTTGCGGGGAGGAGCCCCTCACCATGAGAGTAGCTTCTAGAACGGTGTGGGAGGACAGAAGAGGAGCTCATTTAGCTTTAGCAACCTGTGTTTCTAATTCTAGAACTTTCCAGAAAACTCGATCTTTTTAAAAAGCACCAGTTTGATCTGGAAAAGGTGAGTTCTCCAAGACGGTGGGTCTCAGGGAGCATTTCTCACAGGTGTTCCTGGAGTAGGGGAGAAAGGGATGGTCTTCCCTAGTCCTTCCCTTCCTGTCTGTCTGTCTTTTTACGACAGTCTTCATCTTCCTGGGTTTGAGCCAGAACTTTTACAGTGCAGCTCAATTAAGAGATGTGCATCTTAATTCTGGGCCAGAAATCCTTGGGGTCAGTGTTCTCTTGTGTCTGTTCATTACTGAGTTACACACTGGGGTCTAGAATGGGCTGGGCTCCTCTTCTAGAACTCTTTCCCCCGAGTGACTGGTCATCCATTCTGTCTTCCTCTCAAGCTGGGGATCCAAAGTTACATGGAACAAGATGTTGGGAGCCACCAGAACTATTCCCGAAAAACCCTGATTGCACTGGTCACTTCAGGAATCCTGCTGGCCATCTTGGGCACCACTGGCTATTTCCTGATGAACCGCCGCAGTTGGAGCCCCGCAGGAGAAAGGCTGGTTAGTTCTGGCAAAGGGAAGCAGGGGGTGTCAGTGGATGTCTTGGCAGGGAGGAATACCAGCAAAAGCCTTTGCATTCCTTGATGTAGAGAGATGAATAGGCGCAGACCACGTGTGCATGGATACACAACAAACAGGCAGGGGTGACTGGGTCTGCCCACCACTCACTGTTGAGCAGATAATTCGTGTCGTCTGCTCAGAATGCTCCTTGGGATAGTTTAGCTGGGTACGACCAGAACCAGCTGCTAAGTCAGCCATGCTTATTTGCAAGCTTATTAAAGGTCCAGTGTACGCTACCTGCTCAGGAGAACAGGACACAGGGAAGGAAAATTACAGAGGTGAGGGGGGACAAGGCTGGCATTTGGCTCTTGGCCTCCAGGCATTAACCTGGTCTGGGGAGGTCGCTTCACCATGGGACTGTGGTTTTCTCACGGGAGCGGCTGCTGAGCTGCGCTGATCCGGTGTGGTGCCTCTCGTCTGTCCTTTCCCCTCTAGGAGCTGGAACCCTGACCACTCTCCAGGAAGAAAGGAGTCTGCACACACAGCTGCACCCCTGCCCACTCTGGTCCCTCCCCTCACAGTGCCTCACACCCCTGCTTACCAGATAATGCTCCTTTATTTGTACACTGTCTAGGGTGAAGACCCTTATTACACGGAGAACAGTGGAGGCCAGGGCTATAGCTCAGGACCTGGGGCCTCCTCTGAGGCTCAGGGCAAGGCCAGTGTGAACCGAGGGGCTCAGGAGAACGGGACCGGCCAGGCCACCTCCAGAAATGGCCATTCAGCGAGACAACACGTGGCTGATACCGAATTGTGACTTGGCTGGGTGGGGCAAGATGGGCGGTGTCCAAGAAAGCGGCCCCCTGCCTCTGACTTCGAGCTGCCTCCACGGTAGAGTGACTGCCCCCACGTCCGACCTTTTCCCACTGCGCACACCCCAGATGGCCACCCCGGGGGCCTCCCGCCTTGCAGCGAGGCAGGTCTACTCCAGCCCTCCACCTTCAGCTCCAAGCCCAGGCTCTGGTCTGCTGTAGGTTCAGGTGTGGTGGGCAAAGGCCATGGCCACAGGAGCTTCCATGGATGCATGGGCCCAGCGGCCTCCGTGTGGGGCACCCTGGCCTCCTTCCCTCCTCGTTGCTGCAAGAACCCGAGGGGAAAGGTGGTCTTCCTGTGCTACGGCATCCTCCCAGGAGGCTCTCGCTTTTACCGTCCCTGCTTCTATTTTCTTTCTCTACTTTAGGGAAACTGAAGTAATGCCTTGAGCCTGCTCCCCTTGAACAACATAGCCAGAAACCTGTTTCTTAAACCACTTCCCCGTCCCTCCAGCACACTGCAGAGCTGCTCACCAGCTCCCCACATGCTGTCCACATCCCACCGAGCCCTGGGCAGCCCCATCCCCATCCTGGGGAGCCTGGCGCGGTGTCTGCAGGTCAAAGCAGACTGCTCAGTCCTGGCCTCGGGTCCTCGTGGACCAGCTCATAGGACAAGACCTTGAGCCGAGCCTCCCGGCCCTGCTCTTGAGGCATCCTCTTGCACAAAGGCTGGGGTCCGGCTGCTCCTCGCACCCTTGCGGCCCGCCCTTTCCTCCCTGTGGAGCTGTGGCCTCACAGTAGCCTCTGTCTGCTTTCCCAACTATGAACCCCTTCACTGCACTGCGCCCCGTGTGGTCGGAGCCCCAGGACGTCTCCCAGGGACCACAAGCTGCCCCTCTGAAAGTGACCCACACCTTGGTTTCCCAGGGGGGTGAGTGGGGGTCCTGGTTTCAATGACGGTCGGAAATTGAAATTTCCAGAAATTGAGGTTTTTTTTTTTCCTAAATAAAAATGGTGTGTGTAAATATTGTAATTAAAGTGATCCGGAAATTATTCTGTGGCTGGGCTGGGTGTGTCTGGCACAGGACTGCAGAAGCGTGCTGGGGAGGGGAAGAGGATGGACCACCTCCAGGACTCAGCACGCTGAGGACCTGGGCTGAGATGGCCGACTGCTCTAAATGGGGCAAGGAAGTTTCCAGGGCTAGATGAAGGCTCAATGCTGAATACAAGCTCAGGAGGGTGGATGCTGAGGACTTGGGAACCCCCTTCTAGAAGGGCAAGCTGAACAAGTGGAAAATAGCAAAGACAGCTCCCTACCACCTTGCCCCAGGTCAGAACAGAAAGAGGGGAGTGTTCTCTGGGGACTGTGCTAGAGCTCTGGCTGCCTATGGGGCAGCACCGCCTCCCACCCCCCTCCCCGGCATCTCGCAGCCTCTGTAAGCCCTAGCCCCCCACGTTGCCCCTCCACGGGCCATAGGAAGTGGGGGAAAAACGGCCGGACACTGAACAGCCTCAGGAAACTCCTGCCCCTGTGTCAACAGCAGCTGAGGCCAAACAAAGGTTGATTCTTCCATTCTTATCTGCACGGAGCCAGGCCTTCCCCTCTAGCAGCCCCTCCGCGCACGCCCCTCCTCTCTCCCTGGCTGTTCTCCAGCTGCTCTCGGCAGAGGTTCCTCCCCAGGACTCAGCAGGGGCGCGGACCCGGAGGGGACAGCACCTCCCCGGAGGTGGCGGCTGACCTGGGGACCGGAGAAAGGGGGGAAGGTGTTGGAAAGAAGTCCCGCTGGCCTCCATCTTCAGCTGGCAGTCTGGCCAGATCGGAGGAGCTGTGGAGGGGAGGAGTGGGTCCTGCGTGGAAGCAGCAGCTGGTCCGTCTTGGCATCCCTTTGCCCTGAATTTCTGAGCGTGTGGCTGTCTCCGTGGTCGGTTCTCCGGGAGGACTGGAGAGCCTGCCCAGGGACGTTCGCGCTTCCGGGAAATCAGACTCCTCCGGCCTGAGCGTCTCGGCGCAGAAATGCCGCCACCTGGTGGCTTTAGCGAGCTCCTACTGCTTGGCCTCAGCTCTGAAGCCTCCATGTTGGGTTTCTCTCACACTCTTGCCCCACCCTTAACTGCCTCGTCCAATTTTATCTCCACTTAACCACGGGAAAGGCACCGGTGGGAGGATTTTCTAGACACATTCCATCCAACTCCCTGTGGTGCAGTTGGAGAAACTAAGGCTCAGAGAAAGGGTGTGGCGCCCCCAGTCATCTAGAATTCAGATGCAAAACTCCCCTCCATCCTGTCCAGCAAGGCCTTTGGGTTCCTCCAGCTGGACGCTGCCCCCAGGGCGGTGGAGTCAGGGCAGGCATAGGGCGACCTCTGCAGCACCTCACCAACACTCGCTATGCCAGGCTTGGCCAGCGAGCAGGTTCTGAGCCTAGAAACAAAGGTAGGGAGGCTGGGCTCAGCCCCTCACGGTGTCATGGCTCGGGGCGGAGAAGCGCTCTGCCTAGTCTGGACAGACAGATTATCTCCTCCCCTGCCTTTCTGGGTAGACCAGCCCACCCTTGCTCTTCACAGAACCCCAGGGCTGTTTCAGGCTGCCGGCTGCTGCTGTGTTCCTACAGTGCCCTGCAAGTGTTTCCCGGCCTCCATTCAGGCACTGGGGAGCCTTACCAAGCGCTTCCTGGGCAGCCACTCTGGGGACACAGAGACTACTCACCTACGGTTCGAGCAGAGGAGAGCCATGATAAGTGATTCTCATCCCGGTGAACACAAGTCTTTGGGCTGTGTTAAGAGATATAAAGAATAAAACACAGAAGTCTCCCTTAGCCCTGGGGGTCCACTCTGAGACCCCAGCTCTGCGGTACTGGGAGGGTTGAGCTGATAACCATGGAGATGCTGGACAGCAGGACAGAGATTTCGTCCGCTCCTCAGAAAGGTGCCATTCAAGGCACATGCGTTGCTTTTCTCTGCAGTTTTCTGCTTATTTTTTCAGACATGATTAACCACAGGTAACTGAAGCGATGAAAAGCAGCACTGCAGATAAGGACGGAGGCGTGCAGAGCGGTCATGGGAGGGTGGCCTGCTCTTTAGGAGGCCACAGTGGCCCACAGAGACACCCTTGACAGAAGCTGTGGACTGAGGAAACCATGAAGCTGCCGAGCCACTGTGTGAGAGAGGGCGAGACGGCCACTGGGCAGCGTCGAGGAGAGCGGGAGAGGGACAGGGTCTGGAGCCCACTGGCCGTTCACAGAAACAGAAGAGTATCACAGTCTAATTGGCGTCTAGAAAGGATCGTGCTGTGCTGGGTGCGAAGTGGAGAAGAGGGGTGAAAGGGGAAGACGGTGCCAGGAAGGAGAGCTGGCAGAGCCTAGGGACAGAGTCCAGCGGAATGGCCAGAGCAGCAGCAGGCAGCAGTGCTGAAAATGGGAGGATTCAGAGGACATTTCGAAGACAGGGCTCACGGAACCTTGTCAGCCTGTTCGTTCCTTCAGATAAGACAGTAACAGTGACAATCACAGCATTGATTGAGTGCTTACGAAAACTGAGAAACTGAAGCGACGTTCAGTGTAGTTTGTTACCCACAGGACTCCAATGAAGCAGGTACTGTCCTTTCCAGAAGGGAACAGCGACTCACAGAGAAACAAGGAACCGCGTGAAGCAGTGCCAAGGAGAGTGAGATAGCATCGTGTTTGAGCTGCAGACTTTAAAGTCTCGCAGAGAATGCTACAAATACATTCCGACAACCAAGATAACCACAAACGCAAGCCCAGGTGAAAACACAAGAAAACCCTACACGAAGGGCTGTGTGTCCAGAGGTGGGAGGGACCCTTCCGCCGGAGGCCTCTGGGTCTCTGAAGGTGGGCAGAGTTCGCTGCCAACAGTGAGTGAGGGCATTGCAGGGCAGACGAGCGCAGACAAGACACAGCATCTCCAAGGACAGTCTGCTCTCCAGTGTGACCGAGAAGCAGGATGAAGGGAAGCTGAGCGCGGGAAGATCAGTGCGCCGCTGTCTGAGAGGGGCGCTGAAAGCTAGATCGCAGATTCATTGTGTGCCACAGAAAGTGGGGAGTCACAGAGAGCTTCCACTCCTTCACCCACTTATATCCTCAACAGTGTTGAGTGATCACCACAGGACAGGTGCTGCTGCGCCAGGTATGCGGGATTAAGACACGGTTCCTCTGTGGGTCTTCGTGTTTAGAGGATGCTGACCACGGAACGCTTTGCACTGGGTGTAGGCGCCACGGCGTGGAGACTGAGGCAGAGGCTGTGGCATCCTGGAGGCCCCAGTGGAGGATACACCTGGGCTGACCCGGGCGGCCAGGAAGGAGATGGAGAGAGAAGAGAGCCGGGTGTCCAGGAAGAGGAGCACAAAGGGAGGTGGTCATTCCAGAGATGTGAGTGATTCTTTCAAGGGCCAAGACGGCACGGTCTTCTTTATCGTCTGTCTCTGCCAAAGCTTTCTTTTTGTTCTTTTGTTTCGAGCATGTCATCATTGGTCCACGGGGCTTTGCAGAGCTCTTTTAAAGTCCTTCTCAGAGGGTTCCATGCACCGTCTGAGCGATGGCATTCACTCATCGTCTCTCCCCTTTCCGCTGAGACTTCCTTGGTTCCCGATTTGTATCCGGATGCTTGGAGTTTTACGTGACGAGGACCTTTCGAAAATCTTGTTTTAGTAGGCACCGGGGTCCAGGTTCTCCACTGAGCTGTTGGCCTCTGTGGGCAGTGGGAGGCGGGAGGAAGTGGGTGCCTCCTTACTCCTGGGCCGCGGCACAAGTTCTGGCTCCCGCTCATCGGGACAGCGGCACCCCAGTGCCGTGCTGATTCTCGAGTCCGATCTCCCTAGCCCTTCCCCCAATGTCTTCTTATGTTTGATGTATGCGTAAGGTCCTGGGATTCAGATGTACTCAGAGATAGGAGTGGGGAGAAGTGTGTCTGCTCCATCCTGCCCAGAACCGGAAGTTCAAGCCAAAAATATGAGCAAGGAGAGGAAACCTCGAGCCAGGAGACTAGAGAATTAGGCAGCTATTTCCAAAACCCACTTTCACCATTAAAACTATTGAGGTCTCCAGAAAGCTTTTGATTTTGAGAGCTGTATCTATCAATAATTACCACATCAGACATTAAAACAGCTGAGAGTATAACTCAGTGGTAGAGCATGGGCTTAAATTAACATCCATAAAGTCCTGGGTTCAATCCCCAGCACCACCTCCTCCCACCAAAAAAAGCGGGGGGAGGAAGTGAAGTGAAAAATGAAATTAAAACCAAGCATTTATAATTATCCCATTCCATAATACATGTTTTCAATGAAAAAAAATTATATTTTGGAAAAGAAAAACAATCCAGGAGAAGAGTGACTGTTTTAGACTTCAGCCAGCCGGGCTGGCATCTGGTTTTAAGACCGCTGCTCTGAGTGTGCTCAATCTGCTGTGATACCTCAGGTCACATGGCCTCTACCACCCACCACCGAGCCCTTGAGAAAGTGAAGGGGGCAAGCAGCATCGTGGTGTCGTGGGAGCGGCTTAGACTTCAGAGCCACCAGGAACCCCGGGTCCCAGTCCACGAGGGGCAGCTCCCACCTTCAGCCTCCAGGAATTTCAAGTGTGGCTAATGTGAGCAAGGAACGGAACTTCCGGTTTTACTTGTTAACCCTAACCTTAGCATTTCCATAGAGATTTGTTTTACTTTAACCCTAGAACATGTAGCACTTGAGTTGAAATGTGCTGCCCGTGGCAGATTTTGAAGACCCTGGGGAAGAGGGAGAATGGAAGACACCTCATGGGTGCTTTTATCCCGAGACCGTGTCGCTGCGATATTTTGGATGTACTAGGTTAAATAAAATGTATTTTTAATTAATCTCAGCACTTTTCTTTTTATACCGCGGCTACTAGACAAACCTAAATGGCATCTATAGCTGACTGTGTATCTCTGCTGGGCGATGATTCTGCTCCGGATGGAGCTGGACGACAAAGGATCTGTGCGCCTCAGGAAGTTCGCCCCTCATTTTGGAGGCAGTGCGGAGCTGTTGCAGTCCAGAGCAGCAAGACACCCTCCTCGGGTTTGTACTTTGGAGGCTTGCTCTGGCCTGGGTGTGCAGCCGGGCAGAAAGGGGACCAGCGGGGAAATGGCAGGATGACCACAGGGGGAGCTGCTGGCCGGAAGGAAGCGGCTGTGCGAGGCGCACCATGGGGAGGCGAAGTCCCCGAGGGGGTCTGGAGGGTCTTAATGTGCCACCACTGAGTGGGAGACGGCCTCACTCTAGGCTCTGCATGCCAAAATCTCTGGAGATGAAATCTCAGTGTGTGTCACCCACCGTCCAGTGTGCAGCACACTTCATAAACACACCGATACGTCTGTGAAAGAGTAAGAGTACAAAGGCTATTATGAAATACACACACACACAGACAAGAGACAGAGGAAGGGGAGAGATCGAATATAAAACATTAAGGTCATCTAGGAAACAGAAGATCATCTTACTCTTGTAACATTCCTATGGGTTTGAAATATTTAAAATAAAAAGATGTGAAAAGATAAAGACCAACACAAAACCTCGACAGCACTCAGTGGCCACTGGTTAGCGGAGGCAGAAGGGTGTGGGCAGTCAGGAGAGATTTTCCAGTCTGCCCCTTGGCACCTGGGCAGAGTGGTGGAAACAGGAGGGGACGGAATGGCCTGAGCACGGTGAAAGGCTCAGTGCTGAAGGTGAGCCCTCCGGATGCCCTGGAGCCAATGGGCAACATTCGAGCCTGGCCTTGTCGAGAGGGAGGTGGGCCAGTGATGCAGATGGTGTGTGTGACTGTGGAGACCAAAGGCAGAAAAAGGCTCTATGGGGTCCAGGGCGTGAGTGCAGGATGGAAGGGATGAGACAGGAGACCAGGAGTCCGAGAACGCTGGCATCTGAGGGTCACAAAGAAGGCCACTGTCAGAGATGGCCCCAAGATGCCCAGCCACACCCTGGCTGTCCTGTCCCATACTGTGTGGGAGCTGCAGGGCAGAGTGGTGAAAGTTCGCTCTGAGCTTGGGCCGCAGCTTCTCTCTCAGCTGCACACGCCTGCCCTTCTCTGATCTCACTCTGGGACGAGCCAGCTGCCGTGTCCCGAGTGGCCCGTGGGAGAGGACCAGGCAGGGCGTCCTGCAGCCTCCCCAACACCATGTGAGGAGCGTGGAGGCCTCGAAAGAGGGCCTCAAAAGAGGATAAACGAATAAATGAAGACCACGGTCCTCTGAGCACCTTCGCCAGAACGAGCCAGCTGTGCTACTCCACTCTGCGGAAATGACAAGAAAACCGACGTCGCCGTAAGTAACGAAGCGTCAGGGGTAATTTGTTACTCAGCAACAGGTAATTCATGCCGATGTCCCAGAGGAGACTTTGGAGAGTCAGTCAGGGAGACGTGAGAACTGTGAATCGGGGATCAGGAGAAACCGGGAAGAGAACAGTCCAGAAAGCACAGCGGGGACACAGCGCCAGACGCCGCCACACAGCGGAGAAATAGAATTTTCAGCCTAGGTTGATCGATACCCTTGGTGAGAGAGACAGCAGAAGGGGAAGGACAGAGAGCAGGTGACAGGACACAGAAGAACAGTAGGCCCGCGAGCTCCACTGTCACACTCGCGGGCAAGAGCACCGCCTGGGGGCCGGGCAGGCTGCAGGCAGAATCCCCGACTGCCCACCAGTGACACGCTCACCAGTATCCTCCAGCTCCATCCATCACTGCTGGCGCTGGCTCAGTCCGCTTCTAGCACTTCTCTTGCATCCCTTACAGTCTTGAGCCAGGCAGCCTCCCCACTGGCATCTCCCTGGCCTGGGTCTGCCTTAGTTAAGTCCACAGGAAGTGCACAGATGAGCTACAGTTGCCGCTCGTTCACCCACCCGCTAGCTGCTCAGTGAGCTCTTTGTAGGCGCCGCAGCTGCCCCGCCAGCATTTGCAGGCACAGCGATGGTCTGCAGCGGAAGTCAGCACTCGGAGCCGCCTTATGTCCCTAGAGAGGGGCCCAATCCAAGGTCCGATACAGCGCAGTAAAATCCAGCAACAGCAGTACCAACGTCAGAGTAATCGTTGAGTGGTGATTAATGGTGACAACCCCACTTGAATCTCAGACATGAAGCCATACATATTTAGCTGTTTCTTGGCTCTAACTCGCCGTTAACGTCTTGGGCCTTCTGTCAATCAATTTGCCTTCCTCTGACCCACAGAAAGATCTCGCTGAGTCCGGTGAACCGGGCCACAGATTCCTGCTGGAGCTGCATGTTGTGGCCGCGTGGATAATGGCCAATCTCTCACACAGGTCTGCACTGGGGTTCAGCTCTGACGTGAGGACTGTGATTTTGATTGATTTTTGTTTGTTTGTTTGTTTTGATTTTTGTAGTACTGGGGGTTCAACCCTGGTCCTTATGCACGCTAGGCAAGTGCCCTATATCCCCATCTCAGCAGAGCTAACTCTGAGCAGGTTACTTTGTAAAACTTTTTTCATTTTCAGTTTCCTCATCTGGAAAAAAAAAGAGAAGAATAATACCTCCTCTATAATATCACTGCAAGTATAACAGGAAGAAAACGATGTTATGCAAAAATCCACTATTGTATGTCTTCATTTCAGGGTTGAGCAGAATTTCTCATGTGGCTGCTTTGCTACTTGGTCAAAGGAAACATTTTGGTAAATACTTTTAGTAAGAAAATAGACTGAACATCCGTTGCCCTCTGTTTCTTCTCTGACCCTACACTGAGAAAAGCCCAGAGTGGAAATGGTTTTTAAAAAACTCAATTTCTTTGCATAATAAAGAAACAGGACAGCTGGGATTTAGCTCAGTGGTTCCACCGCCTGCCTTGCAAGCACAAGGTCCTGAGTTCAATCTCTGGTACCAAAAGATAGAAAGAAAGAAAGAAGGAAGGAAAGAAAGAAAGAAAAGGAAAGAACAAAGAAAAGGAAAGAAAGAAAGAGAGTAGGAGAAAGAGGAATCTCATGTGTGCAGAGAGACAAGGGGAGGAGCAGTTCTGAGGTGGATGAGAAGGGCAGAGCGCGTGGGACGTGGCCGCAGGGTGGGTCTGGGGTGCAGGCCAGCCCGGCAGGGGGAGCGGAGCCCCCGAGAGCGTCAGGTCCACAGCTGTCTGCTCCGAGCGGCCCTGTGAGCGCCGCATGCTGCCAGCTTCAGGAAAAGTGTTTCAAGTGAAAGAGCCCTACGATCCAGGGATCTCTAGGGAACAAAGAACAGAGGCTTCGTGTGCCGTGAGTGTGACAGAGCAGGGGGACGAGAGACGAAGCAGGGACTGTGAAAGAGTCCATCCTTGGAATCCTGGGAGAACACAGCTCCCACAGAGCTGTTTGGAGACTCAGGCTATTGTAAAAAACAAAGCATGATTTAAGAAGGCCAATAAAAATCAGGTTTCATGAGGGTTAAACGAAAGCATGCAGATCCAGCAATCAGCTCAGCGGCCAGCCCCTGATAGGACCAAAAGCAACTTTTACTAGGGTTTACTGTGCGAGTTCCTCTTTTCTTCACCCTTGTGAACTTCAAGGTCACAGAATCTACTGAAAATTACAATCTAGGCCTTCATTCATTCTGCAGACATTTTCAAGTTCCTTCCATGTAACAGGTGAGTTTAGTTCAGGAGCAGAAATTATCACAGCGAACATTTCTGAGGGTTTAGTACATACCCGGCCCTTGAGGCGGTTTATTTCAGGTAATCCCTAGAACATTCTAGTCGACCCTCGTAACAGTTCTAAGGAGGAACAATTATAGTCCCTCTTTACAGTGGGGGAGACTGAGACACGGTGAGCCGAAGAGGCCTGCTCCAGATCTCTTGGCTAGCAGAGAGACAGCCAACGCAGAGTGTGCTTTTAGCCTCCTACGAGGCTGCCTCTGAAGGTAGCTGCCGGTGTGGGTGACTTACAGCATACAGGAGGGGAGGGTTACAAATGAAGGGCTAAGGGTGATGTTATGCAAAGGTGGATAGGATTTTCTTGCCTCCTCCAGCCCCATTCCCTTTTTATCTCCACACTCTTGGGGTGGGGTGGTCCCAGGAGCCTCATATCTGTCGAGAGCCTATTACCAGGTGGTCTGCGTTCCCCCATTCTGTGCTCACCGTTAGCCAAAGGAAGATGAAGCAAGAGGAGGGAAAGGTCTGATTGAGCCGGCCAATAGATAATTAGAAGCTGATTATTTTGCTGTAATATGGCACAACAGCAATAAGTAAATCAATTGGCTGGGGGTGGGGCACGGCCTTCCTGTAATCAGCTATTAAAGGACTGTGTCCCTAATTAGTCTATTAATTAGAGCTACTCTCCCATCCACATGTTATCAGCCTGCCAAGGCAGAGAAACCCAGCCCAGGGGGCAGAAGATAAGAGAAAGAGAGAGACCAAGTAGCAGATTAAAACAGCTGGTGTGTGTGTGTTTTATAAGCATAGCACTCAGTGCCCGGGGCAAATCCACCTGCTAGTAGCAAAGAAACATTTATCAAAAACCCAAGGACTGTTGTCTTTGTTGAACAGAAAGGAGACAGAGTGATTTAATCTTTAAAGAGGGAAACCGCGGTAACCACACACAGGGATCTGTGAAGGGCAGCTCTGCTGTGTGTTCCCTGGGGCTCAGGACACAGTGAGAAACAAACACGTCCCGCAGAGGCAGCATTTCCAGACGGCCAGAAGCCGTCCCTCTTAGGGAAGGGGAGGTATGGAGTTCCTCCTCCATGCCCACTGCCACCCGTGTTTTGAGCTTGCCGAGTCTCCTCTGATGACTTTGCCGCCATTCTCAGCGTGCCCTCACGTTATTTTGGGGAGTTTCCAAAAAGGAGCCTCATTCGAACTTCACAGCTGTGGTCACCAAAGGACAACTGCTCGTGCCTCGCCTGCTCTGGCCTCTGTGGGCTGGGCCTGTTTCCTGCCGTTGGCCGGGCACTGCCTGGGCCCAGAAACTCCTGAGGCATTCTCAAGCAGTTCCAACAAGCTCTGAGCCCTGAAATGGCCTCCACACCCTGGGGAGCCACAGTGGACAGCACTGCACCCTCCACCCTCCTTTCCTTACTATGCCAGGTCCTCTCCCACCTCCCCACAATACTGAGGTTTCCAGTGCACTCACGTAAAACCCTGCAGACACAGGTGGGGTGTGGGGGCGGATGTGGAGCACCTGTAACTGCTCACCTCAGCCTCACCATGTAGAATGGGGAGATGGGTCCCAGAGGTGACTATGGCCTGGCTTTCAGGCCGAGACAGAGCACTCAGTACGAGCTTGTAGCTGTTTGCTGACGCACAGAATTGGAAATCTGGAGAAAGAGAAGATCTTCGTTTCTGGGACTTTGGAGGCTGCAGAGAGTTACCTACAGGGTAAAGAAGGGTTGTTACCAAAGTCACCCCACTAGGGCGCAGGAGGGGCGGACAGGTACCTGGTTGGCCCTATACTCCACTACTTCCTGTACCACCCTTTCCTGTCCTGGTGGCTGCTGCTGCCCAGTCCACCTTCACCAACCCATGTGCACCAGAAAGCCCTGCACAGTGTGAGGTGGTGACACACACGGCAGTGGATTCTCGGGTCTCGGGGTGTGTGTGTGTGTGTGTGTGTGTGTGTGTGTGTGTCACTGCCTCCTGCTGGGGATGGCGGGGGGGTGGGGTGGCGCAGTGGTGGTGTGGAGAAGGCAGCCTGGCTTAGCCCCCAGCCCGTTCCCTGGTGACCAGCAAGGTGACCTCAGGCAAACTCTTTCCATCGTCTCTCTTTGGTTCACTCATTTGCAAGATGGGAAGCATCAGCTGCCCGCTGAAAATGTTATTGCAAGGGTCAAGTGAGGCAGTGCAATGCAGCTGATAGGTAAAGAGCTTTACAGTTACAAAACACCACCAACCACGTCTCTGGGCACCTTCAGACAGAGTGAGGATTTTCAATCCCACCTCTCACGAAGGAAACTGGAGACTCAGATTGGAGTGCGCTGGAAAGCAGTGATGCTGTCACCACGGAGCAGTGGCCTGGCCCCTTGCATCTGGCAGCAAGTCACATCTGCCCCAGAGCCTCTCCTCCGGAGAACGTGTCCCATTCGAAGTTTTTGTTCACTTAGTACAAACGTACATGTTCCCAGCTGGCCCCAGACACTGCAATTGCAAGGGTCTTGCTGCGGCAGGGAAAGCAGCCCAGAAGTAAAGGACAGCATGGGGCCAACATTTCACGGGGGGAAGGACGAATGACAGGAGATGAAAGGACACCAGGGCAATGAGCAGGATGCTGGCCATGCGAAGTCCCAGCATGAACCAAGAGGACAGGGAAAGGAGGACGCCGAAACAGCTGGCCAAGGGTCTACCGAGGGCTGGTCCTGCCGCAGGGGAGCCCAGGAGAGGGGTTTGGACCTCAACCTCAGGGCAGCTGAAGCCACAAAGTGTTTAATTAGGGAAGTGGTTGGCAGTTGGCTGGAAGGGCATCATAGTTCAAGCTGCCTTAACAGAATACAGTAGACCATGGCTTGAACAACGGGCATTTATTATGTGCCCAGTCCCGGAGGCGCTGGGAGGGCTGCAGCTGACCACTTCCTCATGCTCCTGTTTCCTTGCATGGCAGAGAGAGAAAGAACAAGCTCTTGTGTCCCTTCTTATAATCCCCACTCCGCTTCATGCAGGACCCCTGGATGGTGGCTGCTTTGCCCAGGAGGGAAGGAGCTGACCAAAAGGTCTTGCCAACCGGAGGATCCTGCTTTCCAGGGACTGAAGAGTGGGTATTGGTGCTGGGACCATCAGGGGAGGAGAGGCCCAGGGCCCTAGAGCCAAGGCGTTCACCTCCCTGGAGCCCACATTCCCCTCAACCCACCTGCTCATTATTAACTGTTGTCAAGGGCAGCCCGTGGCAGGCACCTGATTTGTGGGTGTGTGTGATCTTTTAAAGGTTTATAACCAGACACCCAATAGTTGAAGGTGCGTGTATATGAAATAGTCACAAAAGGCACGGAGAAGGGGCTTCTAGAAAACCGAGGTCATCGACAGCGCTTTAGAAGGGGGGGCTCGGGAGGAGCAGACTTTTGCGCGGGCCTGGGGCCGGGGGCCGGGGAGACTTTCTGTACCTGGAACGCGGGGTTGAGTGCCAGGGACTCTGGGCGGCC